CAAGGGTCTGTTCCTCCCATTGACATGCAATTAGCAACCAAGGCTCTACTACAATAGGAGGGCACACACAGCCCACAAAAGGGCCACACCTGGATTGCATGGCTTAGTTACCAGGAAGACTGCATCACTGAGTCCCACAGCACACCTGCTACACAAGCCCACCTGGTGAAGACTGGAAGGCATAGCAGCTCTACCGAATACACAGAAACAAACACAGGGAGGCAGCCAAAATGGGGAGAAAGAAACATGTTCCAAATAAAAGAATAGAACAAAGCTGCAGAAAAAGAACTAAACAAAATGGAGACAAGCAATCTACCAGACAGAGTTCAAAACAATGATTTTAAGGATGTTAAGTGATCTCAGGGAGAACGTTAACAAAAGAGATAGGAAACATAAATGTGAAGGTAGAAAACAAGAAAAAAAGCCAGTTAGAAATATAGAATACAATAACTGAAATGAAGACTACATTACAGGGAATCAACAGATTAGCTGAAGCAGAGGATCAAATTAGCGATTCAGAAGATGAGGTAGCAGAAAACACCCAATCAGAACAGCAAAAAGAAAAAGAATCCAAAAAATTGAGGAAAGTTTAAGGGGCCTCTGTATCAAGCATACCAACATTCGCATCATAGGGGTACCAGAAGGAGGAGAGAGAAAGCAAGAAATTGAGAACCTATTTGAAGAAATAATAACTGAAAAGTTCCCTAATCTGGTGAAGGAAATAGACATACAAGCCCAGGAAGCACAGAGAGTCCCCTGTTTGGGACTCGGCTACCTTATCTTCTGAGCCCGAAGAGGCCAAGACCACATAATAATTAAAATGCCAAAGTTTAAAGACAAAGAGAAAATCCTAAAATCAGCAAGAGAAAAGCAGTTTTTTCTACCTATAAGGAAGCTCCCATGAGGCTGTTAGCTGATTTTTCAACAGAAACTTTGCAGGCCAGAAGGGATTGGCACAAAATATTCAATGTGATGAAAAGAAAGGACCTACAAGCAAGATTAGCCTGCCCGGCAGAGCTCTTATTTAGAATCAAAGGACAAATAAAGAGCTTCTCAGACAAGAAAAAGATAAAGGAGTTCATCACCATCAAACCAGCATTACAAGGAAT